CTACACCTACCCTGTCGGAAACACCAACAACGAAAATATGTATACAGGGTGTCCTAGAACACCCGGAGGTAATTATTTTTATTTATTGAAAAAAAAAAAAATGCAAAAACATGACCTACCCAATCAGGGATGCTCCACCTGATGGTGGTATTACCGACTTCTGGTTTCGACCGCAAGTGGATTAAACTAACGGGACAAAAATACATAACGTTTGTGGAAAATTTTTATCTGGAATGAACTTCCGGTTAAAACAATACGGCTTTGGGAGAAATTCGTACGTGCCACTTAATAGATGGTTTCCCTATCCCAGCGTCCGTTAAAAAAAAAAAACATATGTACATTAGACCGTACCACCTTATAATCAAACAAAAAAAGGTTCGCCCTGCGCCCGGGGGTCGAAAGTATTTTGCAACGCGATTTAGACGTTTTTGTTTTGCCCGAACCTAGGGTACACCTTTTTACTTTGCAAATAGGCTTTATATTCAGGGATGTACCGCTAACTTTTTTATTCATATTTCTTATTGCATAAAACCAAATAAAAAAATTATGCATAATTTTAGCTGTGCAAGTGCAATTTGAAAACAAATTTGTAGTAACTTTTTGAAAACCGTTGAAAAATTATCACAAAAACAGGTCAAAAATTTTATGCACGCAAGTAAAGTGGGCGGTATTGTGTCAAATATGATTATTTTCAACTTAATTTTTTAATTTTATATTTCTTGGTTTGACAACGATTTCTCCACAAATTTAAATAAATTCGCTTGTACCAAAGATCACTATATTCAACAAGTGGTCGCAATTTCCGTGAAGCTGTTGCCTTTTGTCTTCATCTTTACTTCTTACATCATCTGAAACTTGAAGTGGCGGCTAAAAAGTTTCCAGCCTAAGGCAACTAATGAATGAAATGTATGACATTATACTAATTTTTATTTTCAATGCATTCTCTAAATGTAGACCTTTTACTTTTGTGAATATAGTGCCGTTAAATCACTTGAAATTTTCAATTGGTGTTAGTTGGCTCTGAAGAGAACCGACGACTGGCATGCTTTTTTGAACTCGGCCAAAAATCGCTTAGGCGGTTAAATAAATAACAAATCACTGAAAAAGCATTTTTTTAAGATTTCATTTCAAAATTGTTTTCTATAGCCGCCTTCGTTTCTCAGTCGTCCAAAAATCTTGCTTCTATAAACTCAGTGCAAATCTCTCTGACACAGCTCCAAAAAATCTGTACTACCCTCATATCATCGCTACTTGTCGAGCGGGTTAAGTATACAAATTTTTGAAAATAAATTGCCAGTGTGAAACATTTATAAAGGTTTTGACAAGACGAATTCATAGAAGGTGGTGTTACAATTGAGAGAGTGAGAAAGTTACGAGTTCTTCCTTGAGATACATGAAATTTGACATTTGTGTACCCAAAGCAAAAACAAAATACATTTAATTTTTTTCTTTTGTACTATCGCCACCATTTTAAGAACGCCCTAACTCATAATTTCATGTATTTGAATTATATAGCGGATTAGGTTGGTAGGTAAATAACCATATTTTTCTGTGGAACATCGACGCATCATTTGTCAGAAGAGATATTGACAAACACTTACTGCTGAGCAGTGGTAAATGTCTAAATCTTTATAAAGCAGTCATAATTTGAAAGTTTTAATTGGCTCTACTGAAAATTGTTATAATTTGAGTTGTGTCGTTATTATAGAGGACAATCGGTTTGTGCAAATACTAGTGGATATGAGATAAAACCATCAATCGACCAACTGATTTCATTTATTTGTCAACTGCTGTATGCACATGTGTATAGTATATATGAGTGTCTCTATTAGTACTCATTCACGTGTGTAAAAAATTGTATAAAAGCCGATATTCTGACAAGTTTAAAATGTTGTATGTATTTTTTCACATAAATATACGCATGTACATACATACGTATTTATGTTAATTTGTTGGCGCATTTCCGCCCCTCAGTTTGACCGTTTTTGCCACTGACGTATTTCTATTACATGGTAAAAAATTCCATTTTTGTAAATTTTTTATTTGGCTTTTTTTTCAAATGTTCAGCTATTTCTGCATAAATATGCAAGTATGCTGATTTTTTGAGTGAATGTACACACATACCTCTGTATGTATGTGGCACCTATAGTTGGTTTGAGTATGCGCGCTCTTTAATAGTAGGCATGTTTTATTCAACCATCACAAGCAAATAGCTAAATCTATATGCTAAATCTTATGTTAGCCTAATTTTGACAGTTGTTTGAGTGCAAATAGTAGGTGCAATCCCGTATTCCTCGGACTCGGACTAGTAAAACTGTCAAAAAATAAAAATTCGCTCAGAGCGAGAGAGTAACATTGAAAAGTGCGGGATCGCTTTCTAGTAAAAAATGGTAACTTCTGTCAACTTCAACATAACCTCAAAATTTTAGTTGTAAATTTTTGTAAACACACTCAGCTCACACATTTAAATAACCAAAAATACTTTCAAATTCATTACAATCCACTTAAACAAGTAATTAAATACTTTTCAACATAAATTAGCAGAGTGCACTTTTCTTTTGTTTACAATTTGGTGGCCAAACACACTACAGCTGATCGTTTGACACATTTACCAGAATTTACCAGCAAAAAATTCTCGGACTAAAACTGGTAACTTCTGACAGAGAGAGAGAACCGTATTTACTCTCTTTTTTGTCCTCTCAATAGTGAGAGAACCGAGTACGGGATCGATTTCCAATAAAATCTGACTGATTCTGACTATTTCTGACTAGTCCGGACTCGTACGGGATCGTAACTAGTGTCAAAGTAAGTTTTTGCCTCTTTCTCCTTTGGCTGAAGGAGAAAATTTCTGATGCTGAATGGCAATGCCTCTTGTTAAATATACAAGCCAATTTAGCTTTTCATAAGCCAATATAATTATGTTGGGTAAGTCCTCCATACAAAATAAGCTAATAGCTTAAATTTCTGGACAAGTAAAACACGGCTAGTGTTAAATTCTTATCACAAAACACAAAATTGTTTCGCAGCATGCGAGCTTTCAACAAAAAGCTGCAATGGCTGCTGCCACCGCCGTCGTTGCTGCTGTTGTATGTAGGTACATATGTATGTATGTAGGTATTATGTATGTAAATATGTATAGGTATTTAAAACACGAAGAAATGCCATAACATAGTTTTGCTGTGTTTTCACAAAAGCACGAAAAAAAGAAAAAATAAAAAATAAATAAATACATACATACATATGTACATATGTACATATTTACATACAAGTTCAGGCATACAAAATGCATGGTAGTACATACTCGTACATACATACCCACCCATGCTCGTGTTTTGGAATATATGAACTTGCAAAACTTGCAACATTGCAATATTTGTGCAGCGAGATGAAAATTCTGAGAACTTAAGTGAAATATGCGAACTTTAAATTATGTACACACATTGGCATTTAAATTTTTCGGTTTTCGGTGTTTAAAATATTTAAGTCAGATGTTACGCCTTGAATTTAAGCTCTTTAAGCAAACATATTTATGTACATAACACATACATATATACATACATACATATGTATACAAATTCAACCTTGATTGGCCTTAAATAATGGCGAATAAAATCGAGCTTACTTAAACTCTTCTACATAAAAGCAGAGATTCAAAGGAACATTTTTTTTTTTTTAATTAAGAGTAAGATAAAAAAAACAAAAATTTAAAATTAAACAAAAATTTAAAACAAACAAAAATTTTTAAATACAAAAAAAAAAACTAAAAATCAAATCTTTAAACAAATATTCAAAAACTAAAAATTTACAAACAAAACAAAAAATTTTGAACTAAAAAACAACTAAAAAAGAGAACAAAAATTCAAAGCTACAAACTTAAAAGTCAAAAATTTTATACCAAAAATCATTATTACTATTACTAAAATAATTAAGAATAAAAGCAAAAATTTAAAATTAAGAATAAATACGTAAAACGAAAATCTAAAAGTATAAATTTAAAATAAATAAAACAAAAAAAGTTAAAATTTACAGTTTATATACTTATGAAAAAATGAATGTCGTGGCAAAAACTGGCTTTGAAATAAACAAATGTATAGTTTTTAAAAAATGGCTGTTTCCTATCAGACTTAATAAAAAAAAAAAATATTTTCAAGCGAAATTTTTGGCCTAAATTTCTCGAGAATTTGTGATTTTTTTTTTTGCTGACTGAATACTCGAAATTTGAAAATAAAATTGTGATAAGGGAGTGGCATTTTTTATATTTAATAAATTTTTCAAAATTTTGTAATATTGAAACTTGGATTTATGGAAGGAGTATTCACTAAATTGAGCAGGTGACCTGACACTTGGGCAAAAGGGCTTATTAGCTCAAGCAATAACTTTGAAGACTTCGTTGCTTTGAGCTAATCAATTTTTTTTTGCACGAGTACCAGGTCAATTGCGCAATTTGGTGAATACCCCTATAGTTTTTAAAGTTTACTTTTGTTTTGAATTCTTTATTTTCTTGAATTTGACCACTACTTTTTTTACTTTGTCTTTTAATTTTATTTGTATTTTTTATTTGAATAAATGGAAGCTATTATTTTTTAATTGATCGTCAATTGAAATTTTTTTGAAATTTTTTTTTTTTATACGAAACAACTTTGACTATATCTATGTAACTGAAAATGCGCTCAATACTTTCCCATTAAATTTCCTTAAGCTTTATATGAATGTATCTTCACTATATCCTGACTCAAAATTTTGAAATCAAATACAAATTTCACACACATAATCTGCAAACTGAGAAAATGTGCTTAACACGCTTTTCATTCGTTGAAGGACAACTTTAAACCAACAACTACATACCTACTTAAATGAGTAATGTTTTCAAGATTGATTTCGAACAAACTTTTCTTATGCCAAAAAAAAGAAAAACTAAAATGTAATAAAATAAAAAACAAATTGTTTCCCCTCCTATTCATTGCGAAATTTAATATTTTCTTCAGTACACATTCACATACCAGAACTATTTAGGCACCCAAAAATAACCCATCCCAGCAGCAGAGCGGCGGAGACTGCATTGTTGCGCACTGATGTCATGGCTGGCTGGCTGACCGACTGGCTGGCTGGCTTCCCCGAAGTGAAAGAGAAAATTTCGATAATTTGTACCAATTGACAAACTGCGGAATCTGCTGATTAATGCAGATATCCAGATAGATAGACAGATAATCACAAGCAGCTGGCGAACAATTTCAAATTAACGCGTTTACAATGCCACACGAAACAACTTTGGAAACAGAGCAGCAACGATAAAACACTTTTATTGCACTTTAATTTATTAAAAATAAAAAATTTATTATAAATATTTTTTTAATAATTTTTTTTTGTAAGCACTGCACCCCTTTTCGTTTGTGTGAATATTTTTGTTTTACAGGACCTTTTTTTCTTCGAGGCGAGTGGCACACCAACGCAGGCGGAATGTTTTGATAGTTTTTTTCGCACAGCCACACAGCGTACTGACTGAATCACTACACAGTCGAAATATTGTACTCAGGCGAATCGTTTTGCTGTTGTCGTTGCCGTTGCCGTTACCGTTGTCGTTGCTGCTGCCACAGCCGTTGTTGCTGTCGTTTGTCGTTATTGGTCGTTGATATGTTTATTTGTTTGTTTGTACATACACATTAAGGCATATACTAGTACTTATGTATGCATGTACATGGTATATACAAATGTACGTATGTCAGCCGTAGAAATATGAAAGAATGACGTGAGACTCTTCTGCGCGAAGAATACCCAATATTTCAGCATACAAATCTACTTTAGTATCTACCCAACCTATGCAGCAGGCATGCATGTGTTTAAGTTTGTGCAAGTACGTGCGTTTGTGCCACCGCGTGCGGGTGTGTATTGTATGCATTTCTTGTTAATAAAAAGCCGAAAAAAAACAAAGCCCAAAAAAGCCAAAGTCACCACATGCGGCGGCATGCGCCGAAGCTCCAGTATCAATACAGCAGCAGCGGTTACATACATAGATACATATGCCGCCACCACCACCACTACAAGCGTCACCATCGTCGTTGCCGCTGCCGCTGCCGTTGCCGCAACTGCCGCGCCATCGTCATGGACACCACAGACATGATTTTCCGCCCCCTCCCCCTTACCATTCTATACCAACGAATGTTATTTGTATATTTCCTGGGTGCGTGCGCTGTATAACAGTGTTGGGATCGGTCGGCATCAGGGTTGCCACTACCACAATGGCTTATTTCCTCCCATTTATTTTAATCAAGAAAACAGCGGTTGGCAGCATTAAATACATTTATTTTTTCTGGTGGTGTGTGCTTTTAACCAGACCCACCTACCGACATGTTTTTCGAACCACTGAATCCGAATCTGAGGTCCATTTGACCTCTAAACCCTCAAAATTTCGAGTAAATTGCGAACAATTTAAAAAAAATGGACTTGGCACCTTTTCACCTTTAGGTAACGATATATACATTAGTAAGGTAAAAATAAACCTCACGGTCCGGGGGAGCCTCCGGGCTTGGGACTGAATTAGCGCGGTGCGGGTTTGACATTAATTTCTACGAGTTGCGGTTAAAAACTTTGAGGTTCTTCGATTTCATGAAAATATGACTAACAATAAGTAGTTTTCTTTTTTGAATCACTGTCCTAGTGTCATTTAAAATATTTAAACAACCTCGTCATTGTTGAAACTATTATCGATTCGCAACTTCAATCTTGCCTTAACATCCATCAATTCAATCACTTGATATTTTGATACGCAGTGGATAAGACTTTTTATACGAATACAGAGTTCAGAGAAGTGACGAAGGTAATTGGTAGAATTCTGTCTATACCAGTAAGCAACGAGGTTTTTAAATGAATGAGGGTAAAATTGATATTATCGCAATTTGGCAAGCCTACTCATAGTGCTGACAGAGTGACACATTACAACAAGCTATTTTTTATGAGCAAAGACCAAAATTTGAAGCGTCCTACCATACTACCAACGAGTAAAAACCTACCAATTTTGGTAGGAAAAGCCCAAAACGGCAACCCTGATCGGCATACGAGCGCCATATAATAGTTATGTCATGCAATTTATAAAGGCAACAGCAAGCAAGCAATGCCCCAGTCGGAAATGGTCATGTGTAGTCAAAAATGCATCGGCCTTAGAAGTCATGTGTCTGCTCCAAGATGCATTTTTTGCCCCAGAAATGCCATGTCGCTTTATATAGCTATACATAACTAGAATGTATAAATAGAAAAACATTCGGGTAAAGCAGCAGTAGAGATAAAAAAAATACATATGTTCTCACTTGTTTGTCTGATTATGGCTTCAAAACTACACATCCATGCCTACGATCGCTTACGAATGCAACAATTCGTTTATCTCAATAATACGGCGTGAAATCTTCGGCTACACTTTTTCGAATAATCTTATTCGTACAACCTTTTCGTGGTAGCATGAGGTAAGAATGCATTCCCCCATTTTCCCACTGGGGTGGTGTTGCAAATGCACATACCTATGCATACACACAGACGCATACATACACACTCGCGAACGCAATTGTCGCTTTCAACAGCATTTTTTCGTAGCATACATTAGTGCGCAGAAAAAGCGCTCACTAGCAAAAGTTTTGTTTAGTTCAGAAAAGCGGAAATCAGAAAGCTTTTTGGCTGAGCTTGTGCTTTTGTGTATACACAATATTTTTCCCTGATGGCCCGTGTGAAAAATTTCCCACTTAAAAAATTTACCATGAAGCTTGAAAGTAATAAGGGGAGAATGACAAAATAATTGTAAAAAATATTTTGACTATTTCTTTTGGTGTTATGGTACGTGTGTTAATTTTTTAGTAAGTTTTGTGGTTGCATGCATCAGTATAGGGTGGGAAAAATTTCGAGGGGAGTGGTTCAAAACAAAAAAAAAAATTATATAAAAAAATTTATAAAAAAACGTTAATTAAAATAAAAATTCATTCAACAATTTGATTGAGCTTGAGACCGTTATACATGTTTGTGGTTGGGTTTACGTATGAAAAAATGGAACAAACAACAACAGATTACGTGGCTGGTACTAAGCTCAGTGAGTAGACCATTGGCTTTGTAATCCGAGGTCGCTAGTTCATATCCCAGTCACGGCGGTTAAATAAGTCTGATGAGGAGATGTGTTGATCCCCAAAATATCAGGTGTAACTTCCACCAAAATGTAAGTTATTATTATTTTTTTCACAAACATTTTTCATTAAAAACGGCCTCAAGCTCAATCAAATTGTTGAATAAATTATTATATGGCCATAAATAACAAAAAAAAACAAATAAAATAAAAATGAATAAAAAGAAACGTAAAATAAAATTGCATTTTTATACTACTGTGTCGTACATACATACATACATACATACATATAAGCTGCTGTATCAAAAAAGTATTTGGAGCTTCTAGACATTTGCTATCTTTGGCAGAAAAAAACAACAAAGTCTATGCGGCAAAATCAGTGTATAGAAAAATAGTCCTTAAATATCAAAATATAATTTTTTTATTTGGCACCCCTTTTATTTTGTTCTACGTAAAGAAAACGCACGCGCAAATTTGAAAATTTTAAAAAAATTTTTAGGGAACGCAAAGTTTGAAAAAAAATCTTACAACATTTTTTTTTAATTCGACGAAGTTTAGACTTGCAATCTAAAAAGTTTTAAATAGTATTGAAACCTATTTATTTTTATATATATATATATTTTTTTTTTAATTTTTGTGTTGTTCTGCGTACAAAAAAACGTCCATGATATTGATACTTTAAGGGAAATCCTAATGTAAAGGCTATAAACGGAGCTCGAATAAATTTTGGCGTACAGCTTAGAAATTAGATTAACATATAGGATATTATTTGAAGAGGGTTGTTACTTGTTTCAACAATTAAAATCAGTTTCGTTATTTTTGTGGTGAAACAGCTAACGGTACTGTAATAAAATTTCCAGTTTTTCCATGGGAATTATAAAATTTATTATATTTTAGGACTTCGTCAAAGTAATTCTGTAAAATATTTAAGATTTACATGAATTGGTCCGATATTTTCATCTCCAAAAATTTCATTTTGAATCCCTTTTACATATATTTTTTAAATTCCTATGCAGACCGTTTAAATTGAAACTCTTCTATCATATGAGGTGATTTTTTGGTAGAAAAAATATTTTTAAAAACTAATTTTATGTATAAGAAACTCCATTTTGGAGGTATTTTCAAATCGGTCCAGCTTAGCTAAATCTTAACATTTTTCGGAAATATTTTGGCGGTCTATAAAAAATTTTATAATTCCGATGGAGTACCATTTTTTGTTTTTTTGATGGACAGTGATACAGCCTAATATATGTACATACATGTGTATGTGTATGGGTATCAAACGAAAAAGGTTTAAAAAAGCTTCAGTTATGCACATATACATATGTATATGTATGTATACGCTTTTCTTCAGATAAAGTTTCCACCCATAAAAGTAAAAACGATATACTTATACAATATAAAGTTATGAAAGGTTGAAGCGAATTATTTAGTTAAAATTTGGTAAAAAAAATTACCTGGGATATAATTATTATACCGAAATTCCCAGGGTCAGGCTGTCTTAACTCCTAAGGGCCACTGGGTCTGTGAAAAATCGGCTTGCCATATAAGCGAGTCTTCATTCAAAACGGTCTCAAAATCTAATTGGGTGCAGGAGCTTGAAAGTCATAACGCAAAAACACTGAATTTTTTCAAAGAGCTTCCTGTGAGAATTTAGAATGATAGCATACACCTGGAACGTCCTATCGTAATTCCCCCCAGCCTCTGGCATGCTGGTTAATGCCCTCGTGGGAGCAATGGCAGACATCAAGGCAAGGTAAGAGTACGATAAAGCCTTACAAGTTTACCACAGCAGCGCAATCGATTTGTGTTGGAAGAGAGACCTCGTTCGCAATCACATTGTCTTTCCATCAAGCTACGAACAACGAAAAACCAGGGCCCGAATCGAGGCATTCGTGATCGAATGATTACTCGTTTCGAATCGAATCAAACAAAATGGCAGCTATTTTCTCCACAAGACAAGACAGACTTGCTATCCAATGCCACGATCTAAAAATCAAATTTCAATTCGAGTTACGTTCGATATCGAATGCCGCGATTCGGGCCCAGGTCAACATGATGTGATAGACAGAAGGCGCGATTTTACTGGATTAGACGTACACACAAGCCAAGGGACTTACATTGGACACGGATCTAGTTGCGGACAAGATACACATGCGCCTCCGTCTAGCAACATTCGACGTCGAAAATCTGCAATCACAACAGAGCAAGAAACTAGCTCAAGTCTCTACTCTACTGACTGTAAGCCGAGGTCTATGCAGTAGGGAATGCAGCTATTCTTCAGGACCCAGCCGGATAAGTTATTATGTGTGTCGATAGTCAAGGAGTGATGAATCGGGGGCGCAGATAACTATACAACAAGCCTTGCCTGGGTGACGCTTGCTTAGAAGTCTGGCAGAGATATTGGTGGTGTAAACCTTGAACCTCCTCAATTTCATTGAAGAGAAGTTCAGAAGCTTAACACCTTAGACACCACAACGCACA